TGATGGCAAGCCGACTTCTGAGATCGTGGAGCTTAATCTTGGATACATCAATACCGTCGACGTGAATAGTTCCTCCACGCGCTTCTAGGAAACGGAAAAGCGCTAGAGTCAGCGAGGATTTGCCTGCCCCTGTACGGCCCACAACGCCAACGCGCTGATTTTTTTCTACCTTGAACGATAAACCTTTGAGGACTGGAGGCAAGTCAGGAGCATAGGCAACCACAAGGTCTGAAACTTCAAGTCGACCTTCAGTAGGCCAGGCAGCAGGTGCATTTAAACCGTCTTGAGGTTCGGTACCAATTTCAGAATACTCAATTACCCTTTCTGTGGCGTTCATGTTCAGTTCAATATTTGTATATTCACGCAATCCATACGAGATCGCGTTGGTATATTGCATAGCAAAACTGAGTGCAAAACCAGCCAACGACGCATCGATGCCCTTCATGTATACCACAAGTGCTGCAGTAGTAACAGCAAAAACGGACCCAATAGTACTCATGCGGAAACCAAGCCATCTGTTGAAGAGCCATAAATGCCAGAAAGCTTGGGCATGTCGATCAATCTTCGTGAACATTCGGTCAATGTAGGTTGGGACCTTTCCAAAGGCGCGGATTGTTGACAATCCGGTCAGAGCAGTCCCAAATTGTTCGTATACTGGGCTTTTCACGATGCTCTCTAAGCGTTTGATTTCCCGAGCGCCATCAAGGTAGTAGAGTGAATAATATAAACTAATCCCAAGGAGACCAATGGCGAACAGGATAAGGATAGGCGAGACAAGCAATCCGGCAGCCATAATGCCAAAGATCTGAAGGATGTGGTAAAGCATTAAGCTAAAGTCACTACCTAGTCGAGAATCGATCATGTTGAAATCTGCGGTAAAGCGGTTTAGGATTCGTCCAACAGGTATCGTGTCAAGCCAACGCAGCGGTGCTCTCAACACGGCGTAAGTAAGCCGATCGAATAGGTTACGAGAAGCGTTAATGGCGGCATTGAAAAAGAGACCGTATCTCAGCGGACCTAGAACACATGTTACGAGGGATAATCCAACATAAATTCCCAAGTAAAACAAAAGGGAGGAATTTGGCGATTCCGGATCGCTCTTATTCACGATGTGTGTCATTACAAAGAGTTTGGTATCTGTCGCGGAACCGCTTGACGATCGAGTCCAAATACTTATCCACCATGACTAGTAATAAGTTAGTGAAAACAGTCGCTTTCCCAAGGAATCAAGTAATTAGGCATGCAACATACCCGTCCAACCGTGAGCGTAATATAAGTCAAAAATGCTAAAGCAACGAAAAGCCAATACCACATGCTTCCTCCACTCTTGAAATACGTTATATAGTGAGCCAGTTTAACCGAGCCAGTTTCACGCCATTCATCTTGCTGGAACTTAGCAGGGGCGCGTTTTCTTTTAACAGAAACGTCACTTGTCACTACATTTGTTTGTGTCTGGGATCCACGAGATAAAACTTTCTGTAAGCCAGCCTCGCTCGGATTAAGAGCATCAATGTCGTCCTCAACTTCATCACTTTGTCTTGCTGCATCATTGGGCCTTGTCAGCTAAAATCTCTGTTAGCTCTCCAGTTCTCCTCAATTCATCCACAGTCCCGGCATGCCCAACCGTGCCATTTTGAAGGTATACAGAGTAATCCGTTTCACCAAGGCATAGAGCCACATGATGAGTAACTAGTATCCGCGTTCTCCCTCGACCAAGTTCCCCTGTGAGGGCATGTACATGAAGATGTCGTCCTGTGTGGGCATCCAATGCACTAAACAAATCATCCATGATAAGAATACCAGCGCGAGAATAAAGGGCTCTTGCAAATGATATCCGCCATTTTTGGCCTCCACTGAGATTTATCCCATTAGCGCCTATGTCCGTGAGTTCCCCATCAGGTAACATATCGAGATCTTTCTCTAAAGCGCAGGCGAATAGAACTTGATGATATCTATCTTGGTCGAATGGAAGTCCGAACAAAATATTATCTTTAATGGTGGCATTTTCAATCCATGGTATTTGAGCCACATAGGCAATTGCTGAGTCGATAATCCAGTTTTCCTTGTTCGCGTATTCGTTAAATGTCTCTTCAGGAGGTGGAGCTACCGGAACGCGAACAATGCCGGCCAGGATATCAGATTCGCCGAGGATAGATGCGATGAGCAAGCTTTTACCAGATCCCGTTTTACCAGAAATAACACTGAAACCTTTGGGTGGGAAGTTTAGACTGATGTCCTGAAGCCTGAATCTACCATCCGTTTCGTCGGGGTCTTCCACTGGCCAAGAAATAGTTGCCTTCTCAAAGCAGATTTTATCAGAGGGAAGTGTATTGTGGCCTTTCTCTGCAGAGGTCAAGTATTTTTCAATTCTTTCGGCGCTCACCCAACATTCGATGAAATCCGTTATTAGCTCAGGCAGAATCGCAAGTGTTAGTTCCAGAGACGAGAAAATGGACACCGTTGTAAAGGCAACCGATGCGGATAACTCGCCATATAACAGATAATAAACTCCGAGAGAGACGGCCGAAAGCATCACCGGACCCAAGATCCAAATACCGATAAGGACGATGTCACAACGAAACACCGTCCACTGGGCATGCAGCTCCGCCTTCCGCAGATCTCCAATTTTACGTTGCCACTGGTTCTCGAGAGCCGAAAATTTAATTTGGCGGATTCCATGAAGGACTTCAGTGATAACAGCCATTTTCTGGTCACGGAGTTTCATCAAAGAAATTTGGCTCCCCGTGTATTTGTTTGAGACGTAAATATTGACCGGAGTCACCACTACTGAGACCAAAAGTCCCGAGCAAAGACTTTTCCAACCTATCAGAAGCCCCAAGAATGTGAAGGCAGTTGCAAGTTCAACAATGGTCGACGGAATGAAATAGTTGTAAGCAGCAAAATCGGAAACTCGCTTTGCATCAACGGCGATAAGGTTGATAGTACCTTGATTAGTCTTCTGATTATCGTCTTCGTCATCGGTATCATCTTTTGCCAGCTGATTGATGTTTCGGTCTGAGGTCTGGTCGTCTGTGCTGCTCGGCATTTGTCTTCCTTTCACATTCTTTCGACGCATTGCCTTCGTAAATACTACCGCCGCTATCTGTTCGTAGACAGGAATGCATAGTTTGGAGAACGAGATCCAGTATAGCCATGACTCAATTGTAGAATAAATTACTGTCGACATTCCCAGAGCGAAGACAAATGCCCACGTTTCTGAAGGATTCCATTCGCCACGACTGCGTGCCTCCAGAGCGCGAAGGATATGAAGTAGGCAAAACTGGGGGGCAAAATTCAGGAAAGAGGCAATGACGACCAACACAAACTGCAGTACCAGAGGTGAAAGATAAATATTTACTAACACCTTCCAGAGACGGGGGGATTTGTGTTTCGTCTGGTCGAACGACTCGAGAAGAGATCTGGCACGAGTAGCGTAATCTAGCTCAGGAAGATATTCAACGTCCAGTTTTCTAGTTCGCCGTATATTTTTGAGCAATTCGCTGGGCCAGCTAAAGGTTAAACGGCGAAGCCAAGACGTTGTATACTGGGCATCCACAACCTTCCCGTTCCTAAAAACGTCCGGCCGACGGGGAAGAAGAGCCGAGATGCAGGCGCAGACGAAGGCAACCACAAATTGAACTGATATCAGAGTGTCGTGAACGTTCTTCAGAGCGAGGGAATCAGAGTAGGGGTAGAGGAAAAATTTCTGAACAGTAATAACCGCTATATAAACGATGGTTGACATCGAGATATAGAGTCCGATAGTGAATTTTTTGATCGGAGACGGTTCAACAAGAAGCGCAGTTGCGTTCAGGACAACAAAAACCTAATAATCTAAGTCAGTGCGGGGCGTTTCGAAGAATTACAGAAAAATATATGAAATTCATACCCAGATCGAAAATTGAAGCCATGGCTCAATCATGTGAAATTGGTCCTCCGAAATAATTGACAAGATAGACTGTGCCAAAGATACTAGGAGGCCAGTAATAGAAAGACATATTAACGACACGAAGTGAAATTTTTGTGAAAATTTTTGGGTGGATTCTTTAGTAGCAGCTCCGTCTTGATCCTGATATACATCCTGAAGAGCGATCTGTCCGACTCGATTTCTAATGGACAGCCGGGCCGACAGTGCCAGCAGGCCAGAAATTGTACAGAGAGCAACAGCAATTAGGCCAGTGGTTCCAATCAGAAGAGAGGCAGTCTGTTTCTCGATCATGATGGCCAATATGTTATTAAGAAAAATGCCGTTTTCTTTCATATATTGCCCTTCTCGCCAGCTCGCTCTCCTTTGATCCACTTCCGCTCCGGCTAAACGAAGTCGAAATTAAAACTATATCAATAAACCGAGGGCGAGAGAACCACGAACAAATTGGAATTGATGGGCATACATAAATGCTGGGCATGTACCTGCAGACGCGAAAAGTTTTTATAACAGCGAGCACCGAAGCTCGTGGGCAAGTGGAGCTGTACGGACGCACTGGAGACCAATATGTGTGATCAGATTGGCGGTGGGGTCTGGTAATGTCGCGGGGGTGGACAAGCTAAAATACATTTATGCAATGATAACGAGTAGCGGCGCGCTGAGAAGACAGGGGGAAATTTCCAGTTGCCGAAGAGTTAGAAGAAACCTTGGTGAGTGAGAATGGCATTTTGAACAGGGGGCGAATTCGAGTCACCAGGTCCCTCTCCAAGTGCCATCCTTTTTACGAATTCGAGTTTTCGAGGTCAATCCAGAAGTCGGCGCAAGGTTCCAAATATTGGGTGGGTCCTTTCGAGTAACATCAGCGCTCACCACCTATTATGCAACAGTAAGTATCCCCGGAACAGGCTCTATCACACAGTCTCTGGTGCATTACGCACTGACATCTGAAGCAGCAACTGATAGGTGATCTGATGGCGGTTGATTGATAAGCCAAAAAAAAATTACCCTGACAGGAGTCCGCTTCGCGAACGCTCTTATTAGGAAGGCAGAGTGCTGTCCGGATTCCCTGTCAGTTGTTCTTGGAGGGCGTAGACCGGGCCGACCATCCTTGCCTGGCTGGATCGATATAGATTTTTTGCCCGTGGTGTAGTCAGGGCCAGCAACTGGTGTTGTTCCCGCCAATAGTTATCGTATGATTCACTCTTGTCGGTGTAGAGTCGAAGATCTGCTCTGACTCACTTCTCCGGAAATGGCGCTGCGCTAATGCCGCTCGCTGCTTCGAAGCTTCTGAAAATATACCCTTGTGGGAATTATTTTTGACACGATTCGGACACATTAGATAGTTAAGACCATGAGAGAGTTGCACGCGTAAGCTACGAAGTAATTGAAGGCCATATAGTCCTACGTATTTGTGTGACTTCCAACCCTCTTCTTCTTTCTTTTTCAAATTGAATTCCAGGTCGAATTCTGCCTCCAATGAGAGGGGTCATGTATCGTTCTGTGTTGTTGCGAGCCCACGGATGCGGTCCGTCGTATTTTTTTGAGATCCCGGAATCAACAGCCACATGAACCATTCAATGACCCACCCTGAACAATAATACGCTTTTCCCATCTCGGTTCCCGCTGTTTCCCTCCGAAGGTCTGAATCCCAACAGTTTCGGGGAGCCGTACTTGGACAAGACGGCTCCCGAGCCAATCTTGAAAATTCTGATCTTCCAAGTGAGAATCCGATGTTAGAGTTGTTGGGGAATTTACTCCGAATATCCTCTTCTGAGGCGAGGGGATCACGAGGGATATGCCAAAACTGTCAGGAACATGAGGGGAGGGCAAAACGCTTTGAAAATGTTCCAAGGACTCGATTTCCAGTATATGATGGTCCGTGTAACTTGGACGGGAGGTTTGAGCGGCGCTGGGATGTGGTAGGGCTGCAATAATGAAGACAAAGCTACGCTCGATCCAAGTGCTGTTTGACCCTTTTAACTTGCTGTGGAGAAGAAAGGGCCTTGGCGGTAAATCATATCGCCAAACGGACATTGGTATGTATCTGCATCTCAACTCATATCGAAGTTGCAAGGAGGACTCGGTGCAATCGAAGCTCGATAAATGTTCGCCAACTTCGTGGAAAATCACGTGGCAATATAACTATCCATTATATCCAGCTTTGCGGGACGAAAGAGATTCACATCTAGATAAATGCTCCCACAGAGATTGCGCCGTTTGCCCAGAGACCAAATCATGTAACTAGCAGAGACTAGGTTCATGGGTTCTCCTTTTCTATCCCGATGATATTCTTCCCATTCGAATTCTATAGGAGCAGCAGCTGGAATTGTGCTCCGAATTCAACCTTCAGAGACGAATATGTCACACGGTTACTCTCTGGAGATGAAGAGTTGCCGGTTGACAATTAAAAGGGATGCGATCCAGATCTCTTCCTGCGTCTGCTTGTCTGAGCGAAGAGCTTAATTCGATAAGTATCGGCTTTGGCGGATTTCGGGAGGGTCCGTGTACCGTGGATCAACTTCCGCCGCCTCAGAGTTAGTTAATTAACAATTTAGATTCGTTCATTCAATGCAAGATATCTAATTACATAGATCACATTTCGTCACAAAGCGTGGCAAGCCTATGACGAAATGGTCCAGCGTTCTAAATGGGAACCAGGAGACCCGGGTGGCCATTTCTTTCACATTTCTCATTGATGCAAATTTCTGGCCTGGGATGCACAGATCCACCGAAGCGGCGAAGGATGCGCAGATCCACTGAAGCCCGAACGAGTGCCCGAGCGATCCCCGATTGCGTGCTATATAAAGGCTTTCCCCGTAACAATCAACATTTTGTCGAAGAAGCTACTGGAGAGCCTAAGGTGAATCGTTGACAAGAAGACTAGCCGACAGAGATGTTTACCCCCGTCGATACCGCTCTCGGAGCTGTCCTTCTACACCAGGGATCTTCGGGATTGCTGCAGCACAATGGTCGTGAGTTTGGTATTTCGTCTCTCCTCTCAGGGTCCGTTGCCTCTTCACTGCCGCGACAATCTGCCCATCGTA